CAACTCCTTGGAGTCCTGCTGATCATGCATCGATTTCATTAGAGCTCTCTTGTACTTCACTAAAGTAACTTACCATTTTCAAAAGGCCGCTTTGATTTGATCTTTATTAATCAATTCAGAAACTACACAACAGTTTTGAATAGGACCGTAATTTGAGGAATTGACGCGACTTCCTCTTTGTTGCCAGTTACAAAATCAAAACCATAACAAATAAGAAAGAAAGAAAGTAACCGAAATCAAATCAAATTAGCGAAAGCTGGGGTTGGGTGTTGGCGGCGAAATCCTGCGAAAAACCTCCCTTCTCTCTCGACCCTGCAAAGAAAAGCAAATAAGCAATCAACAAAGAAAAATGCCAGAAATTAAAATAAGAAACGAAACGCGAAATAAAACGAATGAATAGACAACAACGAAAAGAGCCAAAGTCTGGTGTATGAAACATTGGAATTTTTATAAATACACTATTCTCGGATTTACGCGTGCGCAAATGTATCTGTTTATCTGAAGGCATGCAAGAATGTTTGAGTGAAGAAGGCATCAGATATTGTATTCTGAATGTTTCTCTTACAAGTATTTCTAAGCCTCACTGATTATCTACATAGGGTTATACACACCCACATCAATGCATATATGTATGTATATATATATATGTGTGTGTGTGTGTGTGTGTGTGTGTGTGTGTGTGTGTGTGTTTGAAGATTGTGTGGGTGTGGGGGTGTGGGTGTGTGTGCACGTATATTTGACGAATTTTTGGAAAGTCAGTCTCATATTAATTAATACATATCTATCTATCTATCTATCTATCTATCTATCTATCTCAGGCTGTTCATATCTCTCTCTCTAACTATCGCTCTATCTGTCTCAGTTTGTTCATATCTATCTATCTATCTATCTATCTATCTATCTATCTATCTATCTATCTATCTAAGTCTGTTTCTATCTATCTATCTATCTACGTCTGTTCATATCTATCTCTTTCTCTGTCTGTCTGTCTGTCTGTCTGTCTGTCTCTGTCTCTCTCTCTCTCTCTCTCTCTATATATATATATATATATATATATATATGCAGTTTGTTCATATCTATCTATATGTCTATGTATACATTAACACTGTTTCTCTCAGTGACATGGGTATAAGCCAGATAGATAGAAAGATAAAAAAATATATATATATATATATATATATATATATATATATATATAACAAAAATGGATTAGATCCTGATTACGATTCAATGTAATAAATTATAACAATGGAATATTAGTGTTTGAGCCGTTTTTATTATATTTTTTACTCTGTCCTGAATATTGATTTCTACCTGGATTCTCTCCTCTTGGAATTTATATATATATATATATATATATATATATGTATATATATATGTATGTATATATGTATATTGACCACTAATATTATCATATATATATATATATATATATATATATATATATATATATATATAAATATAAATGTACATTATATGAATACGTGCATTTTTTCATTAAATTGTTTTTCACAGGAACGTGTGCGAGCATAGGAAAAAAATAGTCATTTGTTTAAATATGACAGCGTATTCTCTTTCTCTCCTGCATATTGTTTTCCTTGCACTGCTGTATATATACAACTACACACACAAACACACGCGCTCATCGATATATGACGTGCAGTAAAAACCACATGCGCGCGCACACACGCACATACACACTCACAGATATATATTTTTTTATTCAAATACATATGTCACATATATTTGCCTGATTGACGCGAACAAGCAATAACAGAAGATTTTTTTTTGGGATCTTCTACGAAAAAACGATTTATCAAAACTTCACTGAATTTTCCGAGCACCAAAAGGTCGTAGAGTTTCTTCTTTTGCATGATAATAGTAAAAATGCTTCTTGAGAATTCGCGCGCATTCACATCAAGCGCTTTTCTTTGTTTTCCTGTTCATGAATAGATCGACAAATTTCTGGTGCTGTTTTGATAATTTTAATGCTGTTTCTTGAATGTATCTCGCTAAAAAGACACTCAAATAAAGACTAAAATATTATCGCCACTTTCTATCACTGTCTCATTGTAAATTCTTTCTTGAACTTTTCCAAATCATCCTATTACACCCTTGCTGTCTTCACTGCCGTATTTTTCCTTTAACGACTTACTTACTTAGCTTAAAGATCACAGCAATGGACTGACGTTTAAAAGGTCGATGTCGTCCTTACTAATGTCGGATTAAAAATCTTTGCCATATATTAACCAGTTAAAACAAATTGATCACTATAGATTTTACGTAAAGAGACTCCCGCTGATCAACCATCTAGTCTTATAAATACCATTAGAATTTCATTACTACTTATACAATAATCGCAGTGTGTATATATTGATATAATACGAAAGAACGGTTAGATTAAGGATCCAAAGTTCTTTAGTATTTATGTTTTTATTTTAAAAAAAACAGTGCTCGATACAGAAGTAGAGTTTAAATTATAAGTATTTAAAAAAAAAAA